TAAGAGCTCCCAGCAATCATAACATCCACTCAGGGCTGCAGTCAGATAGAACAGTCCCTTGGGTCTCCTGGGAAGGTGTGCTTTGATGGACAGAGGATTTGGTTACAGGGAGGGGAGCAGAGGACAGGCTGCCAGGAGAGGAAACCAGCATGGGGGGCTGGGAAGAGGGAATATGGACTATGGGTTTCTGGAGAGTCTATTGGGATTCCTGGATTCATCTCTATGGTATCAAATTTTCCTTTGGGACATTCTCTGTATGAATAAGAGTCAAGAAGGAGGCCTTCCTCCAAGGAAGCTGGACAGGGGTTGGGATGGCCAGACTTCACTTCTCCTCCTTCGTATACACACATTTAAGGGCCAGGAAAGAAAATTATTAATGACTCTGCCTCTTGCTTCTGCCCCTCTGGGCTGCCCTCTGCTCTCACTCACTGCCCCATCACCCCACAGCAAAGTACTTCCTGTAGGCACAATAATCCTGCTCTATCACTGGGATTGTAGCTATCTCTTCAGTGACATCACAACCAAGGGGATCTGTATCTCTGGCGCAGAGTGGAGGAGGGGCAGGGCAAGGCGTCAAGAGTGGGTAGTAAATGACCAGGTCAGATGCTACCCAAGGAATCCCAAGGGACAGGCAGGGCAGGTGGAGATGCTTTAGGCATTGCCAAGTCTCTTATGTTATCCTGTTAAATGTGAAGACTAGGCTATGTGTGGTGCGACAGGGAGTGGTGGGGACTGTGGCCAGGAGTCTGCAAAGCCCTGGGAAAGATGCAGATGGTAGATTCACAAGGGAGTGGGGTGGGGAGACTGTTTGCAACCCATAGATCATTATTTCTTCCATAGAGCTCTCTAAGCTTCTATTTCCTCACTTGAGAATAAGAATTAAAAAAAAAAAATGAGTTATGAGAATTAATGATGATAACATTTTGAACATAGCACTATTCTGAGTCCTGTACATGCAACATGCATCAACACAACATGCTTATCCCTCGCTACAACATTATTAGGTATGTGCTACTGTAATCCTCACTTCCTAGGTGTGGAAACAGGCAAAATGAAGTTAAGCAGCTTGCCCAGGGTCACACAGCTCGTAAGTGGCAGAGCTGGGATTCCAATGCAGGAAGCCTGGCCCGGGAGCCTATGCCCTCAACAACCCCCTGCCTCAATGACACGTGGGCCAGTGCTCATTACATGGGGGCTATGGCTATGTCCCAAGAAAAACTGGCTGGTTGCTCCACCAGAGCCAGCCTTTAGCTAAAGCTCTATTAAGTGGCCTTCAGCACTTCGCCACCTCCCCAGGCACCCCACTTCCATCCCTTTCTGAAGCCTCTTTTGTTTTGGTGCCTTTGCCAGAGATCTGTAGGAGGTTCGCATTGTAGGGGATCCCACAGATGATCTAGGTTCAAAGATTTGGAAACAGGCTGAGAGGAGCAGGGACCTGCCCCAGCCGCATAGCCTGTCCGAGGCAACGTGGGATCTCTGAGTTCTTCTCATGACTTCTGCTGTTATCTCATTCTCACCCATTAGTCCCCACAGCCTTTCTTCTCCACACCTGATTAAACAAGTGCCTACTGAGGGCTTTACTGTAAGTTAACATTTGTGGTCTTCAAGGAGACCCAGGAAGCCTGGTTTGAATCCGTCTCCTCCCCAGGCCAGTCAAGAGAGTTCTCAGCAGAGGTCCTTTGATCACCTGTGACGGTGGCTCAGAGGAGCAGCCAGGAGACAGATGTGGTCCTGGGGCAGGGAACTCAGCAACTTCCTACTTTGCTCACAGCAGGTGACCTGAATGGAGAAAAGAAGGTTCCCAGACCACCACACCCCCACCTTTGAAGAGAGAACTCCTGGGAAACCCTGAGTGGTCTTTAGAGATTGAGAACACGGGTTTGGGGGTCATTTGAGCCTGTGTTAGAATCCCTACCACTTCCAGACTGTGTGACTTCAAGCAATTTGCTTCACTTCTCTGAATCGGTATAATGAAAATAATAATTCCTACCTCATTCTAAAGAGTAAATACACAGTAAGTGTTGGCAGCTATTATTTATAACTAAGTTTTATTATAACACTATTCTATTACAGCATAAAAAGTTAAATATTCTATTATTAATACAATATTGTTAGACTCTCATAGACACACATATACACAATTCATCTATACACAAATAACTAGATACTTATAATGTCATAACCACACATACAAACTCCCATCAATTACACACACTCCAAGGACTCACCATGAACCAGGCACTGCTCCCCTCTGATCCTCACAACAGCCTCTGAGGTGTATGCATTTTTATTTCCCTCTTTTTAGATGACGACGCACACATTACACACATATTCACTCTCTGCATCCTGGGATGTAGACACTTCTGATGGCTCTGGAAATCCTGAGCTCCCTCCCTCTGTATCAGAGGAGGCCAACTCAATTTCCACAGTCATCTCCAGGGCAGCCCCAAGCTGGGCCCCAAGTGCTGACTGCCCTCCATCCCTAGGACAAAGGCCCAACCTGGCTTTCATGCCAGCTGCGGTTGGGGAAACCCCTGCTGCCTGCAGAAACCAAGTTGACTTTGAAAAGGAAGAGACAGAAGCCAGGGGGTGGCTGGGCCACACCCTGTGGGGGCAGGTGCTAAGTAACTCTATAAACTCTAGCCAATGATGCAATTACAGCCATAAAGAGAGCCCCCAAGAGGGATCAGGGCCAGAGGCCAGACCCTCAAAGGGCAGCCCTGCCTGAGAAGAGGGAGGTCCCTCCCACCTACTTTCCAGCAGGGGACCTGATACTCCACTACTCTAGGACCCTAGATGGGTTCCTGCCTGCCCTGGCCCACACCCTGCCCACTTCTGACTGTGAGTCACCCTGCCATCAGCCCTCTGAAGCCCAGCTAGCTCTCCCTGGATTGAGTGCTCACCTGCGATGTCCCTGTCCCAACCCCTGCATTCCTTCCATGAGACCTGGAACCAGAAGACCTGGGTTCCCATTTGGCTGCAACTCACAGAGCTGAATTAAGACAAAAGAGCACTGCAGCTGTAATAGGCCTTGTACACTGTAAGCAACATTGGCTCACCTCTGGGAGAAGCAGAACAGTCATCCCAAACAGTCCCTCATTTCCCCTTCGGTTCCCACTCTCTGTCCCAGCAGCCAAGAGGCAGGTTGAATAAATAGGGCCAAGTCGGTGGCTATTCCTCCCACAGCTGGGGAAACTGAGACTTGGTATGAGCATACCAGCAGACTACCAGGTAGGGCTCTCAAAGTGGTAGGCCCTTCCCCTTGCAGTGCCTGTAAGGAAGGCCTTTAACTATTGCGGCTGTCTCTTCCCCAAACTGATCTCCCTGAGGTTAAGCCCTGGGGGCTGCCTCCCAGAAAAGGCCTCAAAGGAAGCAGGCCAAGAAGCCAAGAAACTACATTCTGAGCTGAGCGCACCGGCATCTGGCCGCCTTAGAGGAAACCAGACACCAGCCCCCTACCTGCCACCCCCACCTCAACTGTCCAAGAGTGCCAGGTCTTGGGTCAGTGGAATCTTGGCCAGGGCAAGTGCAAGGGCCTGAGTACACAGCTCAGAGGTGTCACAGGGGACCTGCACCACCAGCCTTGTATCCTCTCTGCTCGACTAAGCACTCCCTCACTCAGGGTGGGGAGTGGAGGCTGGGCTGTAATTAAGTGACACTTCTCCATCCAACGCGAATCCAAAGCACTGCTCTCAAATTTAGTCCAGAAACTGTCCCGCGCAGAACCGTCCCCAGAACAGAGAGGCGAGAGGACGACGGCTGGAGTGGACAGGGGATCCGGCAAAGACTCCGCTGTGAGGGACTGGCAGGGAACCGGGAAGGGGGAGCCCTGGGCAATGCAGGCACTCGAGCAGACGAGCCCCGCCCCAGGCGCCCGCCCTCCCTCCCCCAGGGCGCGAGGCTGGGGTGCACCAGGCGGCTGCGGCGCGAACCTGCTCTCACAGCCCGAAGCAGCTCGGAGCAGCCGTGCGTGAAGCCAGAACCCTAACTGGGAGGGGGCCGAGGGGCGGGGACCGAGCTGGCATCAGCCTGCTCCCTTCTAGGAGGAAAGGGCCCGCGCTGCGGCCAAATAGCTGACCCGGGTCCGGGGGGCAGGGGGAGGGTGCGCTGACTTGGGAGGCGGGACAGCCTGGGGTTGGGCGGTGCGGACTCAAGGAATAGGGGAAAGGGGGCGTGTTTTCCGGGATTTGGGACCGAAAAGTGGGGGGCGGATACTCGGGGGACGGGCAGATGGCTGGGAGATCCAAGGAAAACAGAGAGAGGGGCGCGCGGAGGGTGAGCTCTGGCGTTGGGGCTCCCGAGGTAACGGAATAATGCAAGGGGGAGAAAAAGGCTGCGCTCAGTGATACCAAAGACGCGCGCAGAGGCGGCTTCTAGAGACCGAGCGGGAGGAAGGGACGGGAAGGGAGGGAGGGATGGTACTTCTACCCGCCCCCCCAGCAGCCCAGCCCCCGGGGCGTGGCGCCGCTCTGGCCCTCCCAGACCATCCCGGCAGGGCCTGGCAGGGCCGGACTCGGGCCCCCCCGCCTACACCTCCCCTACCTCCGGCGCCCTCGCCGGTACAACCCGCCCCCGCCGCGTCCGGGGAAGAAGAAGTGGGCGCAGGGCCCACCGGTCCCTCAAACTTCTTACAAGTTCACTCCCACGCCTCCCGCCCCTTCGACTCCCAGCTCCCGAGCCGGGAAGGCCCATGCCCGCCCCGGCCCCTCCCGCCTGGTTACATAAGGTCGCAGAGAAGCCGCCCCCGGCCCGGGCCTGAAGGGAGGGGCCGCCGGGGCTCTCCCGCTCGGCGGGTAGCGCCGCTCGGGCCACGCGCCGGGCGTCCGGGACTAGATGGACAGCGGGGTGGGTGGCGACGCAGCGCACACAGTCCCGCTCCCCTCTCCAGCCCGCACCCCCATCCACCCACCTGTCTCCCAGACCCACGGGATGGGGGCAGGGGAGCCTGAGTTGGAGATTCTTGGCCCTCCGCGAATCCCTTGCCCCCCGGCTCCGCTCACCTAGCTCTGAAGGTCAATCCGTCCGCCGCCCGCTCCCGGGGGCTCCGGCAACTTGTCCCAAGTTCAGGTGTCCGGCCCGCGAGCTGCGCCTGCCTTCCCCTCCCGAGCTCCTCCGGCTCGGCACCACCAGAGAGGCCCGCCCTGTCCGCCCTTCCCGCTGCCGTCGGCGCCGCCGCCGCTCCCTACGTCCAGCCAGCGGCCGCCGCCTCTGCTGTCAC